GAAGGAAGGAAGGAAAAAGGGAAGGAAGGAAGGAAGGAAGGAAGGAAGGAAGGAAGGAAGGAAGGAAGGAAGGAAGGAAGGAGGGGAAGAGAGGGAAAGGAAGAAAATACAGATTTACAGAAGAGGGCATTGATATATTGGGGGGCCGGTTTGGCCAACTTCACCCAATTTCCCAGTGATAAATACAAAAAATACAGGTTTTTACTCTTTTGCGTCTTATCTATTCACAGAGTAGGACACAGTAAGACATGAAAAAGTAAAAATTGGAAGCAACAATAATTATTATCTCTACATGGTTCTCCTCCTCTTTTGAAAACAGCTTTCAGAACCTACAGGCAGTCCTCAATTTACAACCGTTCCTTAACCACCCTTCAAAGTTGCAACAGCACTGAAAAAGGTAATTTACGACTGATCCTAACCCTTATGATCATTGTAATGTTCCCACGGTTACATGATCAAAATTCAGGCTTTTGGCAACCAGCAGGATGATTATGACAGTTGCAGGGCCTGGAGATCACATGATCACCATTTGTGACCTTCCAATTTCTAACAAGCAATTAAATGGAGGAAGTCAGATTCGCTTAACAGCAGTGTGATTCATTTAGCAACTGCAATGATTCTTTTAACAACCCTGGAGAAAAAGGTCATAAAATCAGGGACAATTTGTTTAACAACCGTCTGGTCTAGCCACAAAAATTCAGGTCCCAACTGTGATTGTAAGTAGAGGACTTCCCATAAAAAAAAGCCTTTGTAGGCTAGAAAGTCCTGTTCAAAAAGGCTACGGAGCAAGGGCTTGATTGTTCCCTTACCTGATTTGGGGGTATGGTGCTCCTTCAATGGTGCAAGTAAACTGTGCATCTTCGCCACTGGCATAATAGGCGTGTTTCATCTTGTTCACAAACCGAGGAGGCACTGGAAATTAAAATATACCATGAGGAGGTTGTAAGCTTTGTGAAAAGAGAGAGGAGTAACTTAAATACGCTTCTAAACCCCCATTGCATCCAGAAACATGGTACATCCAAGAGACGTTTGTTTGTTTATGTTTGTTTACATCCCACCTTTATTGTTTTTACAAATCACTCAAGGCAGAGAACATGTCCTATATACCTCCCTCCTCCTGTTTTCTCCACAACACCAACCTTGTTTCTGAGACGGAAAAGCAAATGGACCAAAGTCACCCAGCTGGCTTTGGTGACAATGCTGGACTAGAACTCCCAGTCTCCTGGTGACTGGCCCAAAGACAGCCAGCCAACTTTCCTGTCTGAGATGGGACTAGAATTCACAATCTCCTCGTTTCTAGCCTGGTACCTTCATCACTAGACCAGACTGGCCCTCATTATATCAATACCTCCTCCGTCAAACCTTAGAGAGAATACAATTCTCTTTTTTTTTTTGGTCCCATTTTTAAAGTGGGTTTATTATCTTTTCTTCCTTTGCACAGTTGTTTTGTAGGGACTCTCATGTGATGCATTTTGTTGTGTTGTGTAACAACCACCTCTTCCTTTGTTTTCTCATCACACCCCAAAAGCCCTGCTAGCTGATTGGATGCTCCTTGTGGGAGTAGGACCAGTATGTGGAGTGATGAAAGATGCTAGGTACTTCTCTCTGGACTTTCAAGGTTTCCTGTGCGTGTGTCTTTGTGTAGTGCTTGTACCTTGGACGAGAATTTTCCCAAGGGTGCTGGCACTGCCAGCTGGACTAGATGCATAGCACAGATATTGCCCTGAATCCACTCCGGTCAGATTATCAAGGATCAATGTGCAGGATCCATCAGGATCTTCGATGATGATGTGGTGAGGATCCACTTCGACTGGCTTCCCATCTGCAAAGCAAAAGGCAGCCTTTGGTGAACACAGGGCTGGATTCAGAGTTAAATAGGATTGTAAAACGGATTCCCTTTATTTATTTTAACAACAGGTAATCCTTGATTTATGACTAGAATGCACCTCATTAAGGAATGTAGTCGTTACGTGAGTTGGGACCAATTTTACAACCTTTATTTCTTTCTTTTGCCATGGATATTCAGGGAATCCCTGCCATCGTTAAGTGAATCACATGGTCATTAAGAGAAGCCAGCTTCTTCTATTCACTTTGCTTGCTGGAAGCCAGCTGGGAAGGTCCCCAATGGTCATTGTATGAGCCCAGGACATTGCAGCCATTAAAAAAGCAAGCTGGTTGCCAAGTGCCCAAATTTTGACAATTCCATGCTGCGATGGTTATAAATGCGAGGACCAGGCATAAATCACTTTACTCTGCGCCATTGTTACTTTGAATGGTCACTCAATGGATGATCAAGGACTGTATATATATA